GGAACATTCGAACATTCTATAAGTGTTCTCTGGGTCTCTCTAGGCAGAACAAGCCCTGCTGCGGCGATGCTACTCAATCAAATGTGTCTCAAGAAGTTTCTGGACACTGGTGCTGGGCATACGCGTAGAACCATGCTTGGGAAACGGTCGGGGTAGCCTCTGAAGAAGTAAAGGAGATGGAAGAAGAAAACGCCAAGCTGAACTTCTCTGGTTTGCGCATGTTACATGCCCCCGCCGTTTGGACACCATGCGCAATCGAGGAACAGACTTTCGCCGACATTGCGAAGACGGGCTTGAATGCGGTACGAGTTCCTTTCGGCTACTGGGTGGTGCAAGGGCCAGGCAGACGAGGGTTTCGCGGTGCGAATGCCAAGGGCTTGGTAGAGAGTGATCTGCAGGCCTCAGCAATACATCTGTCGGAGCGGCAGGTTCTGGAGAACCATACGAGGGCCCCTGCGCCGTTCTAAGAATCAGTCTCGGTTGTGCGTTGCCAGATGATGTGCATGACCAAGCTCCCCCCATTTTGTGTTGTCTTGTCCTAAGGCCTAGAGGTGCTGGATGGTTGTGTCCAGATGGCTGAAGCGCACGGTCTACAAGTTCTCCTTGATGCTTGGCCTAGGATCGAGTTGCGACTGTCCGTTCCATCACTCAGATCGACGAAATGCTATATGATCTTGGTCAGCCTTGACTTGGTTTGCATAGTGAGGATCTACACGGCAACCCAGGGGGGGAGAGCGGCAGCAGACCATGTGGACGAGAATCCGCTACATGGAGGTGGGAAGATTGGCGACACGACGAGGCCTGGAGCCAGCCTGGCTGTTTTCACGCGGGCCTTGTTCGCAGACCGATGCAGGCCGTAGAGGTTCTGCGCATTCTGGCAGCGCGGTACTGTGACACGTCCTGCGTGACCGGGGTACAGGTCGGTGGGCTTATGCGGGTAGTACCAGTCTCTGCAATGACATTGTGCGACAGGTTTGCAATGAACCTTCCGAGAACATTCCAGCCGACAGGCTGTAAGTTGATCGGCACCGGAAACCCGGAAGCCACGACTTTCGCAGGCTCTGCGATTTCTACGAGCAAGCCATCGAGGCTGGACTGGAGAGCGGTGCAGTCAGTAGAGGGCCACACTGAGTCTTTCACAGGCCATTCGATCCAGCGGCATGGGGCCGGACAAAGTCGCAATAGTGCCACGGGGCCTTGTAAGAGCCGCATGAGCTTTCCGAATCTCCGAGAGGAGAGCTGGGCCGAACTTTCTGCATCGTTCAGTCGTAAGTCAGCAAGTCCAGCTTGCCATGGAACAGAATACACTGCTGGCAGTTGGCTGGAGTGTCTGCAGCCGGCCCTTCCAGATTTTCTGCGAACCCTCTGTTCTGCAGTTGTTCTGAACAGTCACAGTGCTGCTGGTACATTTACTTGCAGGATCGTTCACCATGTCCGTGCTGTAAGTGCGGCGGGTTTATTGTTATTTTTGGTCTTGTGGGAGTGGGGCGCAGGCGGACGAGCTCGGCTGTGGGGCGAGGGGGGGGGCTGGAGGCCCAAGTCTTTGCGTACAAGTGGCTTCGAATAACATACAGGTGGAAGCAGCACTTAGGTTAGACTTGATGAGATCGATTATCTAGAAATTGTATCATTCTTTTCTGATATTAATTCAGCATGATATGCACATTGAGATAGAAACTTCCACGTCATTAAACTTGCTTCTATTTGTACGCCCCCCGCCCCCCCGGCCACCCCACACGTCCCGAGCTCCCCGCAGGCCCGCACCACCCTGCACCCCACCCACCATCCCCTGCAGGCCAAAAAGAAAAGCATGCAAAACAAGGCAAAACAGAAATCTCCACCCTGCACATGCGGCAGGCCAAAGCAATCAAAACCAAACTCACATCCACTGCTTTTCAGACTCAGTCGAATCCACCTGTCCATGCCGATCCACAGTCATCCACACCAGAACCTGCGGACCAGGATGTTTGCGATATACTTATCTCGGAATCTGTCTCGGTATTTGATCCCTCTCTTTGTCGGGCATGAAGGAAGGTCGAGGTCAGCGGCAATTATTGAAGGTCGGAAGAAATCCATACTTGCAAGTCACTGCTGGTCATTGAAGTTCCAATGTCTCCTGGCCTGGAAAGTCCGGAACTGATCCTTCCAAACATGGTGGCTTTCAGGACAGGGCCCTGATTGGCCATGGCTGTCTGTTCACGGACCTGGCACAGCTGTCAGGCGCCAGCATCCTTCTGTCACAAAAGCGACCCACGATAGCGGCAGAACTCGACGCAGCAGGGATCTGGCACTCCCCGCTGAATCAAAGCTGAGCGACACGTGCAAGATCCATCGACTGGTGAACATGGTCGCAACATCCCGGACATTCTCGAAGAAGGAAAGCTTCGATTGTTGGTGTGCAGCAGCATGATGGGGAAGCCAAATCCTGTGCCTCCTTCTTTGCACTGATGCAGAATGCGTGAAACCCTGTGCAGATGTTCACTGCATCTTCCGCCCCAACAAAAAAACTGGCGTGAAAAGGTGCTACTGTAGTATGTTTTAGTGCGCAGTTCACAGTACAGCCACGACACTAAAAATGACGATGGACTGTCATACGATGTCACATGACATGTTTACCATCACCAGTTGTTGCACTGAAGAAAGCAGGAAAACCGTCATCATCGTCGCTGAACTGTCCGAAGGCATGTCGTGCTCATCGGGTTGAAGCCCTAAGGTGAAACGAGCTCCCAACCAGCCGGTGAGAGTCTCGGCCAGCCAGGCCGTTACAGGGCACTACCGAAGTCGTATTGCATCTCATTAAATCTTCGCAGGCACTGGGGGTACCATACTGGACCGCAATACTCGCGGACACATGTGCGGTGCACAAACCCTCCGTTCCCAAGCCTGCTCAGTCTTCCGATATTGAAGATTGGCGAGCGCTTCTGTTCCACCCAAACAAGCTCACCACACTCCAATGGCAAACAAGCTGTACTGGGGACTGGGGCTCAAGGCCACGCTGTCGTGGCAGTTCGGAGCCCTGTTTTTGTGCAGGGTTACATGATGCGAACCTGCAAGAAATCAACGACAGCTTTCACTGAACACTTATGCATTGAGTGTCCACGCGTGGGCTTGTGTTTCAACTCGTGAATATTCGAACTTGTTATACGGTTTTGTGAGATATACGGTAGGCCTGCGCAGCTGACACTTTCCTCCTGTCTCTCCCTCTCTCTCCGTCGATTTCTCGAGTGGCTCCCACCTCCGCTTCGAGTGTAAGGCGTGGGCCAAGTCAAGACAAACTTCTGTCCGAATGCTTCCTGCTTCCTCCCTGCTTCTAAGTCAACTAGATCCGAACGAGTACAAGGCCGAAATGCCAAGCGTATGGAGCCACGCATGCTGACTGTTAGTAGAAATCCGCGCTTGCGCTTACCTTTCGTTGTAACGTGCATAGCCCTGGCCGACGCTATCTAAGGTTGCCAATTTTCACTCATTGGCGGATGAAGGAATTGCTGAGCTGTTGGAATTCGCGAGGGAATTCATTCAAGTTTGACAATATTGCGTGGCTCGTCTTTGTTTTGAAAGTAGCATGCTTGTAAAGTAGCACGCTTGCAGCATCCAGCGCCGACTGTTCGAGATGTCCAGGTTTGACATTCATTATTACCATGATTTTTCTGCGATTTGGCGGCTGCTGCCTCACTACCGCCACATAGAGGCATGATGGCAGTGGTTGAAGCCCTGGACTTCTGGAGCCATGGACCGAACTGGGCACAGGTCGTCGCGGAGCATGCCAGAGAGTTAAAGCTGCTTCCTGGCTCTGTGGTCGGTGAGTGGAGCCTTTCAAGGCAGGTCTCGTTCTGCAGCTGCGCCTTAAGCCGTAGTCGACGGATTCGCGCGTTAGCTCTGTGGCTGATCAAGAGGCCTGGTCATTTCTCGGAAGAGGAGAAGGCAGACTTCGCCCAGAAGCAGGTGGAACTGCTGTGAAGAGGTATGCTGTTCCAGATGCACATCTTGTTGATGTTATCAAGGCTGAGTTTTGTGAGCATGCTGCGCACACATTGGCTTAAAACCTTGCTGACGGTATGTTAACTTATGTTAACCAGGCGTCCGAGGCCTGGATGCAAAAGGTGCATGAGTGCATGAGCCAAGGTGGTAGCCTACAACCACGCATCACACGGATGGCGTCTGACTTGGCCTGGCATATTTCCATTTACTTGCTGATCAGTCTGTTGCGCCAGTGGCAGAGGTTTTTCTGGAACTGGCATGACCATGCAGCAAGCTCAGTAGAGGATGATGGGCATGCAAGTAGTGGTCGGCATGTGCTGAGGCCTTCTATCCGGACTGGGATCTTGAAAAGGCGTGCCAAGCTACTATCAGTATCATGCTTCATATTCATAGCCTCACAATCTGCCAGGCTTTTGACATAGTTTGAGCAAGTAAATCCTTACACCTCGATGTGAAAAGAATATATAGAGCTGCCTGCAAATAGCTCGTTGGAAAGCCTTTTTGCCGTCTGCTTGCGCAGGGCGTCTTCGGCTCTGGAAAGCTGCCCTGTCCACTGAGACAGGAGGAGTTGCAGGCATAGGCAAAAAAATCCTGTTGGGAGTTCTGCAGTGTTCCGATCTGGCGGCAGGGCTTCTTGTTTCCTGCGTGGGAAGGATCAGGTGGAGGGCTCAGCCTGATATGTGTGACTTCATGAAGACCTCTTCCAGGCTGGAGTTCGATTCCAAGTCTGGGACTCAGGCTGACAAGCTTAGCTTGTGTGCTTTGCGAAGTGACCACGTGTCTACAGGAGCCTGGAATGCCATCGTGTTTGTAAGCACTTAGGCACCCCGCTGCCAACATTGTGGCCCCGTTTGATGGGATGGGCGAGCAAGTTGAAAGATTTTTTCGGCCTCTAGTTCTGATGTAAGGCCAAGGTCACAAGCACCAAGGCATGTGCACGATGTCGGATGCAGTCCCGTTGCAAAAAGGTCTTTGTTGGCAGGTTTGCTGCAGGCGATGTCTTGATCGCTTTGCTCCGCAAGGTCCGGTGACGCGCCCTCTGGCGCAGGCGTGGTTGCCATTTCGAGATTGAGGTTTCAGTGGCTCCGTGTGCCGGTTTTGGAGACGTCTTGTCAGAGCGGTTGGGAACTGTTGGGAGCGCTCCCTGATCCGTTGCCTTGCTGCGCGATGCTTCTGGCCATGGTGGTATGGCTTCTTTCGGGAAGAAGCACTGATGCAGCTTGTGATGCGGATCACACCTGCCCATCGAATCTGGCACTCTTGGGCCAAGCCTCTGTTCAAGACCTGCGCCGACTGATTCTTTCTTGCGGACTCCGTGCGAGCGACTGCATCGAGAAGTCCGACCTTCTCGACCGTGCACGAGAAGCCATCACTCGAAAGACACAAGGGTTGTGCTTGCCCCAGGAGCCTGCAATACCGGCGTCCCTGCAAAAGGGGCCAAAAGGGCGCGCCCCAAAGCTTGCAAAACCAACTCCGCACAAGTTGCAGAAAGCGGAAAGTAGGAGTCTTCACTTAACATTGCTACCGCATACTGATGTGCAGGTCTCGAAAGCCTCGTCGCAGGCTCTGCGTAAACTGCTTCATCACTTCGGTTGGTCTAGCACAGGCATTGTTGACAAGGGCGATCTCTTGCAACGAGCACTGAAAGCTTTGGCTCAGCCGAAAGCAATGCCAAAGCCTCATCAGATTCGGTACCAAGGTCACCTATCGCACATCTTGACGCCGAAGATTCTCAAGAAGACGGTGCGAAAAATCCCTTTGCTTTTCGTTTTCCATGGAGCTGGGCGCACAAAAGAAGGTGTTGAGGCATCGGTGTTGCATTTCTCCAAGGTGGCAGCCCGAAGAAAGTTACTCATCGTACTGCCCATGTCGCTTGATCGTACCTGGGACTTCAGCTTACCTTCCACAACAGGCAGAGCTTCTGAAGACACTGCGTTCATTTGCTACATCCTGGATTGTCTCCTGCGCGACTACTACATAGATACTGGGCGCATCGCTGTGATGGGTTTTTCGGATGGTGGGTCTTTTGCGCTTAGCCTAGCCGTCAATAACCCGGGCATCTTCCAAGCAGCTATGTCTTGGTCAGCTGGATATTATCTCGAAGCGGGATCAGTGCCACAAGTTTCGTCAAGCAGGGCCAGGACCAATGTTTTTCATGGTCATGGCGATGCAGACGAGCTCTTTGACTTTCACACAGTGGCTCTGCCAATGCGCAGATCCCTCAGGAGCTCAGGCCACAACGTGACATCGCACAACGTGAGGTCCGCAGGACATGGAGCGCCTCCGGGCTTTGAGTCGTCTGCGATAAGCTGGTGGCTTGATTTGCCGGCGGAAAGAACCTTGCACCCGCCAGCATGAACTTCGAGGGTTCGCAGTTTTGAGTAGTTCCGGAAAGTTGAGTTCTGTCGTGCGAGGCCGAACGTGAACTGATGAGACTAAAGGCAGGACATGCCTAATGTCCCGATGTATACTGATTTGGGTGTGTGTGAGCTGTAGGAGAGCTTAACAAAGGATACCAGTCAGTCCGCGGCCAAGCTTGCGGTTAATGGATGATTCGCCAAGTCGCTTGCTGTTGCTTTAACTTGGCTTCTGAGGTTTCCAGCAATGGCTCGTAAGCACTCGGAATGCAAGTCCGCCTTGCAGCCCGGACAGATGGCGGGAGACCTTGGCACGTAACTCAGACGTGGACCAGACCATGCCTTCAGTACTTATTCCTATACACTTTGCGAGCAGAGAGCTCACCGACGAGGATGGATTTCTAAAGGCAGCCTCGGAGATCAAGCCATGGAAGATGTCGTGCTCGCTCTCGAGGCCAGAGCGGAAACGGCAACTCTGACTTGCGGACTTGCGGAGTGGAGCCCATACATTGCCAGGTGAACGAGCTAAGCGATTTGGTCACCACAGCGCGTGGTGTGCATCTTGTGCAAAGATATGCATGACAGCTCGCCGGGCATTTGCTTTGATGCAACGACCTCCTACCTCGTCCACCCTGGACCTAACCGTGATCGCACTGGCTGGACCTGTACATTGCACCAATTCTGCGCAGAGCAGATCGTGCAACCTATGTTCGTCATCACGAAGTGTCCGCGTCGCGCGAGCAGCACACAAAAGAGCCGTGCATCAAATCTCGCAAGCTAGATTTCTCGAGCTTGTCCGACTGTTATGTGTCGACAGCAGACAGGGTCTTTCCGGAAGAGACATGAGCTACCGCGCATCCGTGGAATTTCCCCAAAAGAGGGGGTGTGGTGTAGTAGTGGTGGCCGCTGCAGCCTGAACATGGCCGCCGCAGCCTTATGCTTTTTTGCGTGGGAGGGCGGATAGATCCGCCTGCACAGAATCCACACATTCTCTTGCATTTGCTCCACTCGGTCAGGCGCGCACCTGGCAACATCTTCCCTCGGCCATCCTGCTAAGTTGTTTCACCTGTAGACGAAATTTACAGCGTGTCCTTCTGCAGCCGTCATCAAAAGTGTGCCAAGGTTGCGGCTTGGCTTCGGCCGAAGGCAGACTGTGACTTCTGCAGACACTGAAAGGCAACATTCATGGACAAACCCTAGCTAGGGCCGCTAGGGTGCCTGGCTCATCATGCTCATTGCGGAACTGTTTCGTGCCGTCACGTTGGTGAGCTTCACTGCTTCCGAAAAGCTTTCTGCTCATTAGCGGCTGCTGCTGCTGCTGCTTCCGAAAGCATGGATCTATGTTTTGGTCCAGTGAGCCTTGCAAAAACCCCGGCGCGTGAACTAACTGAATCAACTCAATATGGGTCGATGTGCACGAACTCCATATGCTCCATCTAGTGCCTGGCACAGAGATGCACAGAGGATCATACAGGTGGTACTCCAGCAAGGGCGCGGAGGGACGTACCATGGGGAGTCACCACGTTTCTGTGGCCGAGCTATAACTGGGGCATCGCATAGTCTGAACCAATTTATCTACAGGACGGCGCAGCATGCCCTCACAGTCGCACAGCACAATTGGATGTTCGATGGATTCAACATGGTATGGCCGCTTGCGAAGACACAGATTCAGACTGCACTGTCCCCACCCCACCCCACACGCCAGAACCAAAGCATTGAGCGAGGTGCGGATGAGGCAACTTCAGGACTTCCAGCCGTATTCCCAGGTTTTCCACGGAGTCCCTGATGTTTGTTTTCCGAGCTGAGGTCAGGCAATGCCGTGGCTGAAGTCCTTACTACTTGCACCTCCGGCAACGGACCCAGCAAACGGGTAACAACGTGATCAGGTCAGGGCGACATTGGCCCGATCGTAACTTAGGTGCACACTCTCCGTCGCAGATCAGCCTGCCAGCACGCCAGCAGGAGGTGCACGGAATTGTCACGGAGGCAAATGCCAAGTCCAGGACGGACTGCACCAGACACAAGGTGGAGGAGTTGGTCGCGTTCGCAACCATCCCACCCCATCAAAGATCACCTGCAATGGCTTTAGCACGAGTCTTACAACTTGATCATCTTCGAGTCTTATCCCACCGCTTTCAACTGCGAGAACTTGGCTTGGCCCGGGCCTCTTCCTAGTGCTCCACAGGCTGCCCACGCAGCACGGCAACAACATCGCAAGGTTTGCTTCTCGACATGCTTCGACGATGGGCTCGCACTGCAGTCCCTGCAAATTGTCGATCGGTTCCAAGGCGATGGAAAGAAGTAACGCATTCCGGCAACAGGTGAGGCCCACGAAACTAGGCCTGCCCGGTTTCGCATGTACGCAAACAAGGCCGCAGCCAAGTCATGGTCTCCATCGTCTTCCCTTCCTGTGCTTCGTGAAGGCGCTTTTACGTTTTGAAACTTGCAACTCGGAGCCAGTCTTGGATCAGCGAGGTGTGGTTGAGCTTGAAGCTCATGCTCATGCGGATGGGGTTGCGGATGCCGTGCATGATGCCTGGCAGGAAAGCGGATGCCTTAGGTTTGGGGGAGACCTTCGTACCTGCTTGTGGAAGTCGAACAGCCTCTCGTTTCCAAGGAAGCCTTCGTGCCGCAGCGCTGGAAAAACCGAGGGTACAGGCATTGCAGGCTCTACCAGGCAATCTGCACCAACACTGCAACACTGTATGCTGCGGCTACTTGTGGCCTTCCTGAAAGCATGAGAAGACTTCGGACAGGCATCCACAGGCAGCATCCCTTAGTTTCGAGGCCTTTGAATCGCAGTGAGAGCGGGTTTGGCTGTGGCGTGGTGTCGCCTCGAGCAAGACCACCACCACCACCTCGCAGCATTGTGCCATGTCCACCGTGCAGGGCCAAGAATGATTCACACAATTCCATAGCGCCGATGGCCAACTGAAATGCGAAGGTGTGATCCACCTCATCATGCCATGCGTCAAAGGTCAGCTCAGGCAGGCTTGCTGGAGTTCTGAATTTCATCGACAGTATCACCGAACGAAGAAGGTCCGCCGCCCCCATGCAAGACAATGCTTTTCGATGGATGAGCCAAGCTGTCACGCTTGAATTGCTGGATTCCGATATGCTGGAAGAAGTTTGTTGGGGTCCAGATGTCAGGACCGCGAAAGCAACCTCAAAGCGAAAGGCCGCGGAAGTTGCCTTGAGAAATGCTCTCCCGAATGGTACCGGGCAGCATACAGCAAACTAAACAGCAGGAAGCCTTGGAGCCATGAACTGACATGTTTCCTTCGTGGTCTGATCTACAATGGTTCGATTCGTGCTGAGTAAGCATGGCTTTGGTGCTAACTAGTGTGGAAATGTTACAAAGCATGCTGGACACTTGGGCTTGGCTCGACGAGTTGGCTGCATGTTCATATGTCTTGTGCATCTGAAGACACCGCTCTCCGCAAAACCCCCAGTGACAACAAAGGCCATGAAGCTAGACTGCGTTTGAAATTTTTGTAGCTTGATTGTAACACAATTGCCAATTGCCAAGACGGGCAGCAACGAACACTAGTTTTTGCAGGACGGAAAGAGCAAGAGCTGCATCGAAAAGACGCTGTGCCGGATCCTGAGTCCTCGAAAGCTAGTGCAGATTAGTTTCGCCAGGAGTAGGTCAAGCGCTCCTAGCTTTCCTAGTCTGGGCAAGATGTCGAATTCTGTTTGAAGCGGAAGAATTTCGACACAATGTGGCATAAGGTTGGACATCGCGGGATGCGAGACGTGGTTTGTTGATTTATGCAGCTTGAACAGGCCGTGATTCCATGAAGAAAATTTGCATTGAGAATTGCTGAAGGGCTTGGCCTGCAGTTTGCTTGGGCTCGAGCATTGTCGAGGTGGAGCTGCTTCCATGTCCATACCACCGAAGGCAGCAGACATGCGTCGTTGGCCGCATCGGAGCTGTTTGCTCCATGGAAGCCCATGACAGATGTTAGACGTCCTCAGAGAACTTTCGGTTCTTGTCAAGTCGTTTGCCAGTACCAGCTGTGAGTGGTATGTGCTGCCCTCGAATGTATTTGAAAGTGCAGATGTGCAGACTCTAAGAGCTGCACTTGCGCAGATAACGAGTTGTAGTGCAAGTGATTTGCACTGAGTGGTGTTTTTGCAGAATTGCATGACTGATTCAGCCTCTCGGCTTACTGCCAGCCTACAATAGGTGCGCAGTTGCATGCTTTTTACTGGCTCAATCCTCTGCGGTCCAGCCCGATCACAGCTGGCTCCAGCAGGCAATAACATATTGTTATGGCAGCGACGTGTTAGACATGTGCCTCGCGACAAGTGCCAATGGATGAGTTGAACATGAGCAGCCAGCGCATTCGTCTTCATCATTCTGCACTAGGTCGAGCATGGTTCACCTACAGCATCTCGACGATGCGAGAATCGGCCAATTGGCAAACGCAAGCTTTGGGGTCAGGCAAGGCTCAAGACCATCCCGAACGGGCAAGGTCTGCGCAGGCTTTCTCCTCAGTCGCGTTCCGTGCACATGGCAGAGCCTCTTCATGGTTCCTGTGCGCTTGGTGGTGATTTGCTGAGGTGTAGGTTTATTGATGCCATGTTTTCTGAAGACTATCCTGCCCTGGGCTCAGTTTCGGCAGTCCACCACGGTGATCATTTTTCGAATTCCCACATGTGAGCCCCATGCCAAGCTACCGCCCTGTGTCATGAACTGCAACACCCACTTCAGATGCTTAACAGCGTCAACATGGCTCGCCGACATCAGTCGATAAGGCGCTCGACTGCCATCCGTTTTCTTGCCTTACCCCACCCTCCGGCCGGAGGTAATGTCGATCTCGTGCGAGATTGGGTGCTCGTAGGCTCGCATCCAAAGCACAAAGCATACAAAAGAGACATCATCCAAGATGGTGTGTGTTTGTCAAGTGCAAACAAGTTCCCCTCTTGAAGCCTGCACGTTCGCAAAAGCTTCATCGGTCACCTATGCTGAGGATCGTGTTCAAGCGAAGCGAAACATGAATAGGCCGCGTATCAGGAGTTATGCTACGCGCGCGAAACTGCCTTCGTGCACTAAGCCAGTCTTCTTCAACTGTCGAGGTCGCGGAATTCAACACACTCCAGCAGATGTCAAGCAAGTCTTTGTTTCTCAGCCTCCCACAGTGCGCTCAGGGCAAAACTCAGTGCCAGATGCCATGTCCATGGACACCACTGAAGTCAGCGCAGGAAAGACTCATCGAATAGCTGCCACGTTGAGGGAAGAAAAACAGCCTTGCATGCTTGAGAGAGGGTGCTTAAGTGCTTACATTCCAATGACCAAGGTTGGCAACTCATGTAATGGTATCAATGTGGGCATGGAGAAGGACTTCGGGACTCTGCAGCAGCTGGCACTACCATTTCAGGATCCGATGCTGGCGACATTGCAGCGCAGCATATCTGCCGAGCCAGGGGCTTCGCTGAAAAGAAAGCTGCACACTGATCGAGTTTGCGCGTGACTTGGGTTCAGCGACAGTTCGTACGGTCGTTTCCAACGTCCGTGAGGCTTGAAGGGACGCTGCTGAGAGCATTGGAGATGGGTGTCCAGAAGGTACGCCAGTAGTGCACGCACCTGGCTTAGATACCAGCGTTGGTGCACAGGCCGCCGAGGTCTTCGGGAAGCATGTGGATGTCGATGCCGTTCACCGTGTCAATTGTGTGACGGAGATCGAGGCAAACGTCTTGCATAGAGCAGAGGCAGAGGTGGCACCATGCTGCGAAACAGTGAGTTGAAGCGGAGGCTACAAGACTCGCAACCAAGTCTTCCAGTGGCCTGGTTCCCGGCAAGGGATGAAGTTGCCGTGCGGTAAAGTGGTGGCGCTCGGCACGCTTGCAGGTCTTGGAGGGTGCAGCGACATCGTAGTGAAATCGTGATATTAAGCGGCCTGTGGCCTGCAGCGGTGTGCACATGTTCCCGCAAAAATGTCGGCGCCCGTTCTTGTCGATCCCACAATACGCACGTTTGCTCGTGGGCCAGTTGAACGTAGACACGTCAGTGGTTGTCCGTCCATCCATCCATCAGGGGATATTTGTGCCACACCCTGGTGCATCGCCTGCCCACTGAGGATTAGCCGTGCGTATTGGCGGATGTCTCAGATGCCATGGGTCTCGTAGACCTTGTCTGATTGAGGCACAGGGTTTGCTCAGGGGTTCGGCAGTTGGGCTCGACGCTGCAGATCAATGCGAGAAGCTGCGAGGACCCTGCAACTCCGGAAAACACTGCAGACACTGTGACGTGACACCGCCTATACGGATGCCCTTGGCGGCAATCGGCACCACTTCCAACCCAAGGCAACAAATTGCACAGTCTGTGTGCGAGAGACATTGCAGCGACAGCGATGACAGCATAATGACCCTGCCTCGCAACACGGGCAGTTCGGTTCGCTTTGCGGCTTTTGTGTCCGTTGGTCGGGTTTTGGGCTCAGTGCTGGGTTTGAGGTTTGTGTACAGGTGTCGGGTTTGGTTTTGGTGTTTGACCAGCCTTGGGGTCGAGGGTCAGGGCTGGGGCTGGGGATCCGGGTTTGCGGGTGTTTGTTTTCTGTAGCAATCTGGGGGTTTGATTTGTAGGATTTTGGGTTTTGGGTGTGGTGTTGGGTCTTGGATTTGTCATGTTTGGCCCTGTCTTCTCAATCTAAGTAGACGAATGCAGTTGCATGGTTGCGTGCGTGCTTCTTCACTGGTGTAAAGTGTTGTTGGTTGCAGCCGATCGGAAGAGACATTGACTAACACGGCAGGTGTCCAAAAACCCCTTGGGTTGTTTTCAGGCACTGAATCTTAATATGATAAATGATGCATAGAGGCCATGCGCACAAGGTCCGCGCAAGTGCGGCCCAAGGGAAGCGCGGGGTCTACAGCTAAGGATGTCGTGCGTGTGTGTGTACATGTATGTATATATATATATATACACACACACACACACACATATATATATATATATATGTATAGAGATGTGTGTGTGTGTGCGCATATATTTATGTGTACTTTATATGTAATGTATGTAGGTTTATGTGTACAGTATGCATATATGCCTTTGTGTGCATGTGTATGTGTCTGGCTGTTGGTGGAAGGTTGTGTTGATGCCTTCATGGGAGGCGAAGGAGGTGCGGAAGTCGTCGTCTGCCGCTTTAGTGTTGATGCTGTTTCTGCGGAGCCAATGTGCTCTACCGTCGGATGTTGAGACCTTCCTAACCCTCGCCTGCGTTGTCGAGTGCGAGTGCTAAAACATGTGTATGTAGAGCGTATATAGTTAGTATATATATATATATATGTGTGTGTATACTTCCTGGTTTGATCAATATCTCGACACTTCAGGCCAAAAGTGCTGATGTGCTTCAAGTCAGCAAGTATTCTCTGGACCATGTCATGCTGCGGCTTTGCCGGTTCTTGCCCAACTGACGGCACATGTCTTTTTCTGTTTGAAGCTGCCCAAATAAACATTGGTAAGTTCTAGCTTTCGCTGGAGCCAGCTTGCAAAGTTTCTTGTGCAGCTAGAGGTGTCAACACAGTGTAAGGTGGTCAGGTAGACAAGACTGTCAGACAGCAATGCTTGCATGGTGCCACATAGTAACATTCCAACGCATGCGCAAATCGGCGGAAGGTGCGCGCAAGGACATTGTTTTGGAAGCCTTCGCCCACTCTGTTGCCGGGGATGTCATTGATTCAATTCTTTAAGAAATGGCTCGAAAAGATGATGATGGTCAGTCTTTCAAGAAGCCCGTTTTGAATTTTGAATCCCAAGCCGGTAGCAGGTGCTCCGTAGTCTGTCCCAAAACCCATGCTGATGCTAATGACTGCTGATGTTGAAGGGGTGTGACAATCCGGTCCAGAAGCATGCAAATCCCAGGAAACCTTCCGAAGCAAGCCCCGGCAACTCTTCAACTCTGTACGAAATCACACGAGACCCATGCAAAATCACCAGTGAAGCATTCTCAATCATAGCCATCGGTTGTCAGCAGCTGTCCTTCAGTATCGTATACTTAATGCGACGGCATTTTTGAGTATGGGTCGGCGTGTACAAGGGCGGGCAATGTTTGCGCAAGCGCGGCCCAAGTGCCAAAACTAGGACAAAGGAATATTGGACAAGGGTGCTCGTTCAACAAGCTGCTGTGCATCCCTTGACCTTGCTCTCGGGAATTAAGGTGCGTTGTCCGCAGAACCAGGTGGGAGGCAAGAAACACCAAATCCAAATCAAAACGCCAGGACGCATCGCCGAAACCTGCAAGCGTAAGCCCGAAACCAAACGCCAAAACCCAGTCCCAAGCCGATGCTTCAAAAGAAAATATGAAGAGGAAAGCCCGACACCAAGCCCAATCCCCCCCAAATGAACCCGGCACTATAAGCCCTGCAGCCCACTGCAAAATCGCCATGTTTGGATTGTACTGCTGCGACCAGTTGGCACGACTCGTTGCCACGCCGATCACGCCGAACATTGAACGTTGGCATAGCACGCCACTTTCGCAACACAAGCTCGACATAAATTGTCTATATATGTGGACGCGGTGTAGCAGGGAATAGCGCCGCACCTCGCAGCTTCGCAGCTCCGAAACTTTGCATCGGCAGTCGAAATCTTTCTGCTTTCGTGCAACACCAGTCGAGTTTGGAGCCATTCTGATTCTGCACAACCCCTGGGCTTCTTCATTCCCTTCCTAGCGAACTAGTACGCCTGGCATGGTGCTGCTGAGGCTATCATGGCAACTCGGATATCATCGCTCACCTGTTGCACTTGATTGTGCAGCTGGTCGCGTGCTCACCAGACAAAAGCAACTGAATGATGCCTTCTGGCATACATTAACTAGTAACTAGTAACGATGCATCGCTTGGCATGAGGCTCTTTTTCCTCGTCCTCCAGCTGTCGGCCTGGCCAACGTTCACATGGTCTTGAGCTGGAAAGGGTTGTGCCTGATGCGGCGCGCAGCGATGCGCAGCGATGCGCAGCGGCAGCCAGGCCGATGCAGTGCTGCAGGTTCACTCGCGTGTTGCGCTCGATGATGCTCGATGTGACAGGCAGAAGAATTCCAGTAGCAGGTGCAAGTGGCCAGAGCCGCGCCCAGGCTCGGTGAACACGGCGAACCAGAGCATGCAAGTGGGCTCCCTCGGTGTTCCTTTGAACAAGGAGGCGCTGCTAGCTCCTAGGTGAGCGAGAGAACATGCGAGTGGCCGCTCGTTGCTTGTCGGTTTTGTCACCGTCAACATCTGAGAAAAGAAGGTCCAAGCTCCGGGGGTCAACGCCAGAGCCTTACCTAGCCACCATGTTGGGGACTCAGATCGGGCGGCATTCGCCGGCTTCGGGCATTCTGCTACCTGCTACCGGTGGCTACCAACGATGGCAGGGTATGAGCCGGAGCAAGAGCTACGGCATTCTACGAAGACAGCAGATATTTGCACTGTCACCCTCACCCCTCATTCTCGCCATCGCCCTCACTCCCACCCTCACCTCGCCCTCCCACTCAGTCCCACACTCACTGTCACGCTCACTCACAGTGTCACCCTCACTCCCACCCTCAACCGCATCGTACAAGTCCGTTCTGCCTCGGGTGACTAGGCCCAGAGTCCGGACTTGTTGGATTCGAGGTGACTGTGCCCTTTTCGTCAGCTGGAGGCTCGGACGGTTACTGCACTTAGAAGCATTTCTGGCCTGAACCACACGGGGGCACCAGTGCGATGCCTTCAGGCACATGCAGCAAGTGGAAGTGCACGCATGCATGGAGAGGAACGACGACGAGTACATATTCTCATCTCTAAGTCTACTGTAAGAGACGAAAGTATATAGGGATAAAGGTGCGCGCCGACAGTGTCACAGCAGTGAGTGCGAGCATTTTGAGATCGTACTTGTGAGTTAACGTGTACTTGTCTGTCGATGCTCACGCTCTGGATGTGGTGCTGTAGGTGTTTCTTTTGCTGACACTTCTGTCATCATTGTGGCAGCCTTGATTCTCCGCCCTCTTTGGCAGATTCCAGGGCTCCCACTATCCGGGTCTTCCGGCACCATCCCACCTTCAGAACCCCCGGAGGCCCAAAACCCAGAACAAGCAGAGCATCCTTCCCACACCGGAACCTCTCTGGGCTTGGGGCTACCGCTTGTACTGTGTCCAATGTCGGTTTTGAAGTTGTGGATTTGGTGTGCTTTGGCTCTGGGCATGGCTCTCTTAGCGCCCAGCGCACGAACAGACCCTCTCCTCTGCGCCAAAATTAAGCCCCCATGAACGACAACCTACAATCCTGGCTCCTGGAGCGCCTATCCCCAAAGCATCCCGCACAGTATAGTGCGGACGTTCGAAGTATTCAAGTTTTGCTTTCGTTTGCCATTGGTCTCATGGTTTCTCATGATTTTGCTGTCTGGTTTCAGATCCGCTCTCTCGGAGCCTGCAGCGCAAGAACTGTGGCAGAGACCTGCTAGGTAGGAAAACAAGCAAGTACGTTCAGCTTACTCAATTTCGCATCGGGGACACCATGGAAGTCGATTTCTCGCCGCCATCGTTTCCGGATTTTGTTTTTGCTGTTCTGCATCCGAACAAATGTTTTCCTACAGAAACTGCGCTGCCCTTGCCGTTGCCTTTTTGTGCTTGTCTGCTTCCCAGCTTGGCAAGCAAGCATTCTTGAGCACTCCGGGGACGCGATGCGGGGTACTCTGGTACATTCGTGCTTGTTCTTGGAAACCAGAAGCTCGCAGCCTGCGATTTGAATGTTGAACACTGTTTCTTTTCCAGCCTGGTTGCCGTTACTTCTGCCGTTACTTCTCCTATTCTTGTTGCCATTGCAACTCTTGCAATGGTGGTCATCTGTCTGTTGATCATCAGTCTTAGGATATGGGCGCCTTATGAATACAAGGTTGTGAAAGCCATGATGCCGATAGTGGTAATACGGTTAATTAAGTAAAGATATAGGCATAGGTGTGTATATATATATATGTATATATATATATACAAATGTGTGTGTGTGTGTGTGTGTGTGTGCGCCTGTATATGTAGATGTATATGTATATGTAGATTATGTGTATGTGTATGTGCATATGTGCATATGTGTATATGTGTATATGTGTATGTGTGTATGTGTGTATGTGTGTATATGCGTATATGTGTACGTGCATGTGTATGTCTATGTGTATGCGTGTATGTACGTGTAGGTATGCGTGTGTATGTGTGTGTATGTATGTGTATGTATGTGCATGTATGTGTATGTATGTGCGTATGTGTATGTGCGTATGTATGTATGTATGTATGTATGTATGTATGTATGTATGTATGTATGTATGTGTATGTACATGTCTGCACCTGTAATGCAATGTGATGTAATGTAATGTAATGTAATGTAATGTG